AAGAGAAAAAAGTGAAGGTGGTATCATTGACTTATCTTACATCTGAACCAAAAATCAAGTGGTAGATTTGTTTACTAAACCATTGCCCAAAGACTTATTTGAAGGACTAAGGAGCAAGCTGAGAATGATTGACATCTATTCACTAACTTGAGGAGGAGTGTTAGAAGAAAAAGCCCAAGCCCAATAAGCTGTGTTTTATTTATTAATTCCATTCTTTGTATTCAGTTTATCAATCTGATTAGATTTATCAGATAGATTAGGATAGATCTCTTTCATTTAGTCATTTACCCTAGATTTACCCTAGGTTATCTTAGCAAGTTATATAATGTACCTCACTGCTTCAAGAATAATATACTGATTAAAACAATTGCTCTCCTTTCTCACTTACCAATAGTGGATAAACCAAAAGATCATAACAGACTCAATGAAAGAATGCTTGATTGTTACATGTCCCCCAGAAACATTAGGGGAAGGGGTAATGGCTCTCCAACAAGTACAAATCCACACTAATGAAGATATGCATCAATAGAAGATTGAAGTTGGCCCTTTCTCTATTTCGAATATGGTGAATGAATCTGACTTGCGGTTGATTCAATATGTTTTTGAACAATTATGGTTAGATTCATATATCCCAACTATGTTATTAATTACTACCTTTAATCCTAAATATAAAACCTAGTTTGTAGTGCAATTGATTCAATAATTTTTTTGTATTGCAAACTGAGTCTTATATTCAGGACCGAAGGTAGTAGTAATTAGTATTTATATGTGTTTGTTTGTGTTTTATAAAAGCTTAAATCATTCATTTTACATTGTCTTTGATGAGACAATTTTTTCTTCACGGCGTTTATATTTGAAGCAATCTCAATTTACCACACTTAAACCAAGGACTCTCCCTCATAGTATTGAAGCACTTGAAACAAGTAGTAGCACCTTTGCTCCTTCCTTGGATAGCCTAGTTCTTTACCTTGAAGTTCTTGATAGTTATGCATGCAGAAGAATGAAGATTCTGATGATGCAAGAATAGCACAACTCCCAAACCTAGAGACCATTTATGTTTAATCTAGTATGTCGATGGAAGAAATAGTTGGAGAGCATTATTATAGTGGTAACACTCTCAACCCTAGCTACTATCACTCTTCCCAAAATGAGAGCTGTGAAATTACTTGGTCTACCAAAATTAACTTTGATATTTAAGAGGAACCATGTCTCAAATATTTTGATGCCTTCACTTGTGACAAACTAAGCCCCCTTGTATGCGGTGCAGAGTCATGAGAAAAATATCACATAAACTTGCAATCAATTTGAATGTACTTACCACAAAAATCTCAATAAAGGTCTGGTAATCTATCTGAATCATTAAGCATGGAAAAGCAAGAACCCAAAGTGTTGGAAGATGTCACAAGGTTGATAAGCCATGATAAACTTGTTAATTCAATGGAGAACCTTAGAAATCCACTCTTATGTTTGGAGGTGTAAAAACACAACTATTCATTTCTAAAAGCTAACTAAAGTCTGATTACAAAATGAATTACTCAATATGTTAAGAAATACATTTAAATCTGACTTAAAAGTATTAAATGCTAACATCGAAAATAAACAACTAATACTTAATTTAATAATTTGGGAACTTAAAAGTCATATTAGGCAACTAATTAGTACTACCTCTGGTTCTTCATGTATATTTGAAATACAAACTAAATCTTATGTTAAAGACTGTATGTAACAATTTTCGCACTATTACAAACAAAATATAAGTAGCATGTCAATTAGGTTCCAATGAGTCTTCTATGTGTGGTACTTTGTCAAGCGCTTTAAATTGAAGCTCCCAAGCTCATAATATGTTCAACAGCTCCATCTTCAGTTCAAATTAAACTAATGACATCTTTGAAATTTTCATTCAGATTGTACATCCAATTACTATTTGCTTTGTCAAAGGCTAGTGCACTAGCCCATCTAATGCTTCTTTAATTCTTTTAGCTCTTGCTCTTGTAATTGAATCATTTAGAATTTGCGAAGGGTCATTTAAAGTTGAAGAAACATTACTTAAAAGTTGAAGAGTCAGCTTGCTGCTACTCCTATATAATTCTGATCTATTTTGGAGTTGCTGCTAATAAAAAAGCTCATCCCATTTTCAACTTAAATTTGATTGATCTTTTGGAAGTTTGGGTATGTGCATACATTATTTTGGTTATATCAAGTAGAGCTTAAAATAAATATTAACCATGCCGAGCCAAAATTTAGTGGATGCATGCTCGATGCTAATTTCTTAATCAGTGTTCAAATTGTGCATTACTGAAATTCAGGTCTTATGAATCCCTCTCTATTCTTACGATGATGACAAACTGCACAATTTTATCGAAAAGACCATAATTAATGTAAACCCAATATATTTTGCCTTGGCTTCCTCTTGTATTTATTTTGATAGACAGCTTCTTTTTATTAATTTTTGAGTCTGTTTAGGCATGGAAGTCCTAAGTCTAGGTGTTACGAATAAACCTGGACTCAAGTCGCGATTTTTTTTTCTCATCAAGTGTGGTAGATTTTGAGGGTTTTTTTTTTTTTTTTAAATGCATGACTTCGTGGTATTGATATTTGAGATTCATGAATCGAATTCTGCGAGAATTCCTTTCTGTGTATATGGTCAATTCTACGGGCAAGCGTAGGACTCATTTAGTTCAATCTTTCTACGTTGCCTTCCTCTGATTGTTGTACTATGTTTTCATGATTTCATAGTCTTCCCTGCTTGTTTTCTAATTACCATCTACTAATCGCTAGATACCGCAATAATCCTTTTATTTTCTGCAGTATTTTCTGGGTTTCTTTCTTTTAATGTCGTATCTGTATTTGTCTTTTGATCTTGGTTTTCTTTGGGCCTGTGTAATCTGGTACTGATCTCTCATTGCTTCGTCAAGCGGAACATCTTCAGGTTCAAGTTCGTCGTCTCTGTCTCAAAACTCTGAATCAGAGGAGGATTTGCCGGTTCTGATGGATCTGAGGAAGAGGAAGGGCATGATAACGAATCGCGATTCAGCAATGCTATCTCCAATGAGAAAGCAGAAACATCTGGACTATCAGGTCGCTGAAGTGGCTCAGCCCATAAAAGCGAATCAGCAAATTCTCACAAGCATTGAGCTCAACACAGAACAATACTTGAGTTGAATCTGAGAACTCCGTTCTTCGAGCTCAAGCGACTGAGCTGAGCTTCAGGCTCGAATCCCTGAACGAAGTAATCGATTGCTTGACTGCCAGCAACAATGGAGCTTTTGCAAGCACCTTCATTGAGCCCAGCAATGGCTCCTGGAACCCAATGAACATGACATCGTAACCAACCAATTACGGTTTCTGCAGATTTATCCCTTGAGAGTCCCATTTTCTCTCTATTCACAGACCATGCTTTGTTTGATTTATTCTATCAGTAAATTTGTTTTGAAAGTTTTCATCTAGAGCGTTGGGCACTTCAAATGATTTGAACCTTTTTAGTCGCCTTGGGTTAAATCAAAAATAAAACCAAATTATGCAGTAAAGCACAACTCAGGTCGAGTCTCTTGAAGAGCTTTTTATTAATTCCTTAGTTAACTAAGTGACAAAGAATTGAAAGGAAGGATTGAAAAAGGATTTTTCAATTAATAAAACTAATTAAGAAAGTAAGAAATAAATCTAAACTATTTTTTTTGGTATTTTTAAGAAAGAATGAAAGATGCAAATTTGAATTGTAAGAAATCAATAACGAGAATGCTCTTGAGGAATGAATCAATAACTATCCTAGTTTGTTTAATGATATGAGAGTAACTTAAGTGGTTAAGACTGGTTTATATAAGTTATTCCTTTTAAATTAATACTCAGTTAGAACATTAATTACTTGTTAAATTCACTTCAAGCATAATTTCTATACAACTCGCATAAAAATCAAACTAACAATGAATTAACAAAGGCATAAACATAAATATATGTATATAGTACTCAAATTTATAAATATCAATCCAAATCTCAGCAATTTCAATCCAAACCAAGAATTACAACTAGCAATTCTTAGCTTTAAACCAAATATAACAAATTTCAAACTAGAAATTATCAACAAAATAGTCTAAACTAAGGACTAGAATTAAACTCCCCTTTGTAGCTCCCAAACTCAAGTCATTGAATTCAATCACAAAGAGTACAGCGAACTCAGCCTCTCATAGTCTTGAACCAAGCTACAACTCGTGCCAAAAATTTAGTAGCCATGGAGGATAGATGGAGGAGAAGAAAGATGAATTTGGAAGATTGAAATTGAAGTGTTGCCGTGGTGGTGTATGTGTGAAGGGAAGGGTATGAGTGATGGTAAGCGTGTGGCGTGATTGTGTGTCTGCCTTCATCTTGCAATTGATGGATTTAATATATAACCTAATATCTTTCCAAAATCCATGCCTTCCCTCTCTTGCGTCTTTTTCTTTCCTTTTTTTTTATTTTTTTTAATTCTTTTCTTTTTGTTTCAACTTTCCTTCTAAGTTTATTCCCTTTTCTGAGACCTGCAAAAGATAAATTGAGATACTATCATAAAACCCACAATCAATTATTTAAAAAGAGATAAAATATGATAAGATTTTCTTTTAAATTTCTAATTTTGTGCCACCAGTATTTAATTCAAAATATCTAAAATCAATGCAAATTATTCCACTTTAATTGATAAATATCCCCAAAAGGACATTAAATAATATGTTAAAATATAGATTTATCATCAAAGTATTTTTCGATGCAAATGTTCCACATAATTTTAAAATCATAATAATTTTAGTTAAAAATACTAATAGTCAACATCTGATTTTAAATTGTTATGATTTTAAATTTTACAAATTTGCAATAAAAAAAATTTGTGGATGCCCAGTACTCTTGAGTGAAAACTTCTAAAACAAATTTGTACCTCAATCGTTTATTTTATGTTCCCCAAATAAAATAATGGGAAATGAAGAAAGAAATATGAAAGAAAGCTGTAATGAAAATAGAGTTGCCCTATAACTATGAAACTTGGAAATAGTGAGAGACTATGTAGTGCTGGAAAAGAAAACTCAAGTCATTGGAATTTCACATCAACTGGTATGGTATATCATTCTGCGTGTTTTTCTTTGTATTTTATAGCTTCCCATTGTATTCATTTTGTGAAGCATCTCGGATTCTGCATTCTCTTAGAATCTCTTTTGTTATTTTTCTTTCAAAATCCCATTTGGAACAAAAATGACATAATTTCCAAGAAATACTACGAAACGTACATGAAAAGTGGAAATGCTGCCAGAAATGACAGAAATACAATCCAGAAAACATTTCATCTTACATTAATTAGATCGTTGATGTTCCATGCTGTCTTGTCCTTTGTTTTGGTAGAGTTCTCTTACATTGCATGCCCATGAACTGTTGTTCTAATGGGTATTTGAAACTATCTAGTCAGTGAGAATGATAGCCGGTTTAATGCGAAGATATTGCAGGTACTTTCCAACATACATGTACCATATCCAGAACCTACATAGATTGCCATGTTGGTAGCATAAGCATTTATTTTCACCGTATTGGTTGTTTCGAAATCAGGGAAGCCTTGCACTGCTGCATTTGTTAAGGCTAGTCCTTGACCTAGGGAAGTTGTCTCTGCTTAAAATACGTATAAATCGGTCAAGTCTCTTGCCTTTGCTCTCGATGGTTCGATGGTGGTCAGGAGTTGGAGACCACGAGCACGATTTGGCGATGGCAAGGACAAGTCAGGCAAGAAGAGGAAAGGAGTAGATGAAGGAGTAAGAACATGGAGCCAAGAAGAGCGAGCGGAGAATGGGGGAGAAGAGTAAGAAATTTTTTTTCTGGGAGTAATTATTGTTTTAACAGTATCTCACCAACCACCTATAAGCGCAATGAAAAAGCAATAAGCAACTCTGAGGTGTTTAACCCAATCATGCTTGTGAATCCAGCCTTTGGCCTTAAAGTAGGATAGGAAAAAAGCTCACCCAAACAAGCCAGAATTTTCAAAACGTGCTTGTGAGCTGGATAAGTTACTTTTGGACCACTCAAAAGCCTAAACAAACAGAGCCTTATGTTTGGATTGATGTTAGACAAAACTGACTTATAGTCTAACTGACTTTTGTAATTGAAGTTAGAGTAAAAGTCAGTTAATATAATAAGATTTATGTTTGGATATGTGCTTATAAAAAGTCAGTTGAAAAAGTTAAAAGTTGTTTGGATGATTAATAGAAAAATTAGTTTAGTTGTAAATGATTGAAAAGGGCAAGGACTTTATTAAATAATAGTGTTTGAAATTTTATGTTTTTAATGTGATAATAGTTTAAAAAATACATAAAATTATTATGATAAAATATAAATAGTTTATTTGTGATATTATAAAATAAAAGTATTTGTTACGAAAAAAAATTTGAAAACACATTGTAGATAATTAATTAAATATACATAATGGATAAACAAGAATATAAATTAAAATTTATTTGATCTCTAATTAAAGTATATGAAATCATATGATTAATTAGATCGTAAGCTTTGTACAATTTTCCATAAGTCAGTTAGAAAAGTTGGTTCAGATTGCGTTAGATAAGTCAATTAGAAAAGTTACTTTTTCTTATAAGTCAGTTAAAAAAGAAGTCTCATCCAAACAATCTTCTGAGCCACAATAAGTCACTAACCTCAGTTTCACGCTTTCCTATGCACTTTTGGCTTCTCTAACTGTAATCCAAACATAGCAGGAGTTCCATGGAACTAACTTCTACGCTGCCAAAAAAACAAATATCTCAATTTCACTTCTACTTTCACTTTCTTCCTCCCACTTCCTTGCTACCATACGTAGCATAAGTTCATATGTAAGGTCTACAGAGAATTCCAACTTTTTCAGATTTCTAGATTGACAACATTGCTAACTCTGATCTATCATACATGATTGTTTGTTTTCTTAAATCGCTGTTACATATATGATAATAATCATATACGTGATGTACGTGATGGGTATAACAAATAATTGCTAACTAAGACAGTTTTTTTTTAAAAAAAATAAATAAATAGGGGGTTACTTTTTGATCAGCAGCCCCTTCGCATTTTAATAACAGAATTAGCACATGCAGCGGAACAGAATCAAGAACTAAAAAGCGATAGCAGCAAACAAATTACATACAACAAAGCTATGTGATTAAACATATGTACGCATGCATAATAATGTTATTACATTCTCAATCAAGTAATAGTGTCTTTTCTTTTTTTCTTATTGTGAAGTTTTCATCCCTTTGAAATTCATATTCTTTTATTGTGATTGTGCCTCACATACAAAGTACCATCTTTATTAAAATTTGTTCTAAGGAACGTCCCACTAAATGGATATATTCAACTCTAGTGTCACCGTACGTATTCCATCTTGCTGTTATCATCTATTTTATTAGTCAACAAAATAATGGATCATCTATTAGTAGCGTGATCTGGGACAAATAAAACTTAATTTAAGAAGTCAGAAAGAAAGGCTCTAGCAAAAATCAGTTGGAGAAAAAAAATACAAAAATCAAAACATAACAACATTCCATATGTATAGCAAAAACCAGCCAAATAACTCAAAATATTTTAAACAACGAAAAGAATTTTAAAAAAATCACTAATTTTAACGAGAAACCCGAAATGAATCACAAATCACAGGTAACACAACACCTCTCACAAACACACAAATTCACAAACTAGCAGAAAATCGCGACAAGAACCAACCACATTTCAAACCTATTTTAATAGAATAGGAGAAGAGAGAACGAGGGTAAATAAACTAGAGTTCGGAACTTGCAACACACAAAAAATAAAGTAGGAAGATGATAAGAGAAGTTGACGATAGAGAACAGAAAAGTGAACAACTAAGTTCCTTTGAAAATGCATTCAATATATTGAATTTATTTATATATTATTCCTCTCACTTATTACATTTGAAATAAGTACTTAATCCCAATTGTTACCTCATTTTTTCTTAATGACTATATATTGCCAACAACTGATTTCGTGGTTAAAAAACATTCAAAGACTAAAAAAAAGGTGGGAATAAATAATGAAAAATGAGGCGTCACCAATTGGGATATGGAGAATGAGAGGCAGAAAAAACTGTTTTAGTAACTCGTGCACAACAAGCTTTTATCGAAAAAGCTAGTGATAATATTGACCATATTATTTGGGTTACTGTACTGTCACAATATGATAATAGTATTTACTAGTTTCGAAAGGCCATTTCAAAAGATCATTAATTAAGATATATATGATTTGTGTGATGTCAAAAGAAATTATAAAATCTAATGTTTAGAAACAAGTGAATGCAAATAAGCTGGAGAATTACATGTGTTGTGTCTCTCACGTTTGCCTACTTGCTCTCGTCCTGTTGGTTCAAAGACTATCAGTTAGAGCTTTAAAACACTGGCAACAAATAGTGGCAACATTGCTCCATCGTTGGTTAGCCTATTTCTTCACCTAAGTTCTTGATATTTCTCTGGCTCGGCAGAGAAAAAAAGACACCGCCGAAGAGGCTGCCTTGACTTGTGACAACTCTGCTTATAAGCTTAGAGGCGACTTTGCTCGCCTCAATTTCTCTCATCTGCAACACCAAGGGGCTCATGTGCTTGGTGAATGTGGGAATTACAAACCTCTTGATTCCTCTGTAGATGCCAAGCTTCAAGCTATTTGTGAGAGTTTGGCCACTTTTCAGAAACAGGGGAATGCAGGGGAGCCTTGCTCCGTCGGTGACGCAAAGCCTAAGATGGCATCGGACGAGTCAGAATCAAAGAGTGATTTGGAGGATTGTAAGGTGGAGAACATAGCGTCGTCGTCGTCCTTGTCAGATAAATCCTGGGCTATCGCGTCTTCCCCTGAATCTGACGTCAGTTTCTTGGATTTCTCGGATTCCAAGGATGACACTTTCGACTTTGGGTTGGAGAAGTTTCCTTCTGTGGAGATTGATTGGTCTGCTATTTGAGATGTCATCAATCTTCCTCGTTATATGGCGTGGTCCTCTTCAAGTTTTAGTGTGCATGTACTTGTAGTTTTGCATGTCTTGTTGATTATAGTGTTTCTTTTTCTTTTTTCAAATCACTCTCAAACTACTTTAAAGCCAAATTTAATCTTTCTCCCAACGTCCATGGAACGAAATAGGACCGGGACAGGATAGGGATGTCATGTTTATTTTTTTAAAACTTTTTTTTGAATTATTTTATTTTAAAACTCGATGTATTTTGGAGCATAAAAACTTATAGCAAAAATTATATAAAAAATAGATAAAAATAAGCTAATAAATTGATATCAATTGACAATTAGCCAAGAAATGTTTTCTTTTGAAAGATAGAAAATATATAAATTCAAATATCTCTTTAAAAACATCATATAACCTATATAGAAAAATTTATAAATTGTAGAAAATATAACATAAAAATTATTATGTTAATAATAAATAAAAATAAATTTATGAAATTAAAAAAAGATAATAGAGGGGACACCTTTATTCCATGTCTTGTCCCATTCCGAGATATTGTTTTTTTCTTCATGTCCTGCTTTTGTCTCGTCTTGAAAATTTTCAAGATGAGACTTTCTCATCCCAAAATGACCAAGACTAGAATGGAACATTACGATGAAACATAAGTGTACGGGAATGTGTGAAATCTCAGTTTGGGGCTTTTGTGGTTTTTTTTTTTTTGTGTTTAGATGGGGCTAAAAAACTAACTAATTTCTGGCTAAAATGAGCATGCATTTCAACGCTGAGAAGAACTGCTTTTGGGATGTTTAGTAAGGCAATTTACCATTAGCCTTGCATTAATGCTCATTCAAAACACACTTACCCAGATCTTCCCTTCACTTTTTCCCTCACTCTTCTCCCTTCACTTATTATAATTAGTTATATAATTTTATTTACTTTAATTAGAGACGAAATAAATTTTAATTTATATTCATGTTTGTTTATTATATATATTTAATCATCTATAAGGTGTTTTCAAATTTTTCTCGATAACAAACATTTTTATTTTATAATTTCACAAAAAAAACTATGTTTATTTTATTGTAATAATTTTAGGTTTTTTTTAACTATTATCACAATAAAAACATGTAATATCAAACACTACTATTCAATAAGTTTTATACTCTTTCAGTCATTTTGTAACTAAACTCACTTTTCTATTAATTATCTAAATAAGTTTTAACTTTTCCAATTGACTTGTTATAAACACTAATCCAAATATAAATCGCATTACACTAACTGACTTTTATTCTGATTTCAGTTTATAAAAGTCATTTATAATAAAAGTTAGATTTACCACTATCAATCTAAACACACCCAAAGCCTTTTTGAACTTGTAGATGTTTATTTCTTCTTCTTCTTCTTATCCTCTTGTATTTGTTCTTTTTTCCTTTGGTGTAATATAACTGTGAGGTTACTTTAAGTTTAATATCATTTGATCATGTACCATAAATGGAAAGAAAAAAGAATGAAAGCGATCAATATGGCATCTAAAAACAGTCATTCGGCACGGGACAGTTACAAATGCACACGGCTTTATTGATTTTGGTCAAAAATAAAAATAGTCGTCATTAGCTCGCAAAATTACAACCCACGTTGTCGAAAGAGTTGGCAAAACTCTTAGGCTTGTGATATCCGAGACAGAACTTGATGGAAATACAATTGTGTAAACTCACATCTTTTTTCCGGCCTTGGATTCGGGCCATGATAGGATTGGTGCTGAAGAAAGAAAGAACGGGGAAGACGAAAGGGGACGGAAGAAGAAGGGAATGGGCTGGGGAGGAGTCTGCAGTCTGCACCAATGATGGGCAGGCGGTGCATTAGGGACCACCAAAAAGGCTGTTCTGGCTACTCAGCTGGATAAAGCCTTCTGATTAGTGGGACGCACCAAATGAACAGTTTGTTGCTGGAAATGGTATTTGTTGCCATTTTCTCTTTATTACGTAGAAGGTTTTTTTTTTTTTTTTTTGCCAATACTTTTTTTATTATATTTGCAACACGGGACTTTTAGTAGAGTGCTTTCAGAGTTCAAGGAATCGTATAAGGAAGACAAGACTCTATACACACCCATATATACCCTATAACACTAGGTCAAAAATGCAATTTGCAATCCTAGTCATGTATTTAAATTTATACATATTTTTTGAATTTTTCCAAGTCATGATATACCTTAAAAGATTCTTTGAAAAGATAAAACACATTATATTTTTTTAAGGACGGAAAACACTTAGTTTGTTACTTGTAAGAATTTCTCACATACAAAAAAAAAAGTATTAAATAAATAAAATCTTTCACTTCTGCCTTTATTAAAGAGATTTGAATATTGAAAAAAAATAACACAATATTATTATATTTTTTCTCATTCGTTCCATCTCTCTTTACCTTTATTATAATTAATAAGGATAGAATTAAAAATAAAACACTAAAAAGGATATAAGTGAAAATAAAAATGACAAAAATTTTATCCTACAAGTGAGAAATAATAAGAACCAGAGTGATATCCTTGTTTCTACTTCCAAAAAAACACTTAATGTCCTCTCGAGGGCCTTTTATCCTATTTATAAGACATAAAAAATATTTTTGGTCCTATTAGTCACATTAAATTTTTTATGGGAATATACAATTGTAATCTTTATTTATTATTCATACAAAAAAGTGTATATTATCTTTAGTCCTAAATTAAGAACGTAAGTTACACTACAAACAAGCTCTTATATTTAGAACCGAAGATAGTATTAAATAAAAGTGAAATTAAAAAATTATTAAAGTTTAAAATAGAACCAATAAAATTTAAACTTTTCTTAATTCTAATAAAATATCTTAGAAATATCTCATAAATATAAGGAAGAATTTCAATAAAAAACAGCCAATCTCCAAAAAATTTTAAAATTTTATTGCACTCGTTTGACCAAAATTTTATATGTGAAAAACAAAAATACCCTTACTTTATTTGTATTGCAAATTGCTAAATTTATATTGTAAATCGTATAATTTGATTTGTAAATCTTTCTAAATTTTATAAGTAAATGAACAACTCAAATTCAACCATTTGCAATATAAATTTAGTGATTTATAACTCAAATTAAGTAACAATATTTTTGTCTTTTTACACATAAATTTTGATTAAAGGGATACAATGAAATTTTAAAATTTTTTGGAGGATTGGTTAATATTAATTGGCCCCTCTGAATATCATTAAACGAATCGTAAATGTTATATATTGCCGACAACAAACATCGTGCCCTACATCTCTTTTGACGAAAATTCACAAAGGAAGCTGTCACCATTGACTGACTTGGTCTCATATTGCCACACCGAGTCAAGGACAAATAATACCACGGGTTAGTCTCATATTGCCACACCCAGTTGCCAGGTACGGGATATTCTTTTGAAGTTGGCAAAAAATAAGATTCTTTAAAAAAAAATTCCATCCGTCTCTTATCACAAATACATAGGAAACATACACTTTTTATAAATATATCTTTATTACTAAGTAGATAAGTCATAATTGAGACAGTGAGGATAATAATGAGAAAAATCATAAAAGAGAATATATAGAAAAAAAATTAATCAAGAATAACATTGATAAAAAATACATTCAGCATTTAAATAACCTAAAATTGAATCTATAAAAATGATGAAGCAATTAAAAATTTTGGATATTATTAAAAGACACTTAAGGAGTAATAAAAGGAAGAGACAATATAAGATGGTTCTATTGTTAAAATGATTTATAAATATCCTGAAAAAGCCACATGATATCTTATTATAATACTATTCCGGTTCTTAATATAAGAGTTAGTTGACTATTTTGAATAAAAAAATTAATTAAGTTAGTTATTTTTAATAAATATGTGTTATCTTTTTTAAAATATCCTTACTAATTAAGTGTCATTTGATGAAACATTTAACATGCGTAATTATTATAATAACTACTATAAGAAAAATGGATAAATATGAGAGATAAAGTGAATTAGAGTTTTATATTTAGACTGAATCACACGGAACACTCTTGAACTTTGGGTCATTTATTTATAACCTCTGTCATTTTAAAAGTTTAAATTAAGGACCATAATGTTTCTTGTTTTGATTATTAACACCTTGCTATTAAAATTACCGTTAAAGTTAATGGTTTTTGCGATGTTAACTATTTTATATTTTTTTATTATATGCTATGTCATTTTAAAAATTATACTTGCAATTTAAACAAAATTTTTAATCTTTTTAAATACTTTAGATGAAATACTTAATTAATTCAAAAAATATAAAATATTTGAGTATAAATTTTTTTTAAAATATTTACTTGATGGAATCCTTTTCAAATAAAAAATTATAAATTATTTAAAATTACTGTTAAATGACAAGTGGTATTTTTTAAATGACATGATATATGATAAAAGATATTTAAAAAATTGACATGACAAAAACCGTTAACTTTAATGATGATTTTAAGGAGAGTAGGTTAACCACTTAAATATTAAATATCTTTTTGCCGTTGCCGGTCAACTTTAGGGAAGTTCGCATTAAATAATTCCACTTTATATCACTTACCGTACAAAGGCGGGAAGAAGTGGACACCATTCAAAGGGGACACTTTCTCGGTACCTGCCTCATCTTCCTTCTTTTCTGGCTGGATTCAGCTCATCTCTATCTTCTTATTCTGTTGATCTTCCAAAAACTTGAGTAAGTAACTTTCTCTCTTTATTTTACTTTATTCGTTTCAGACTTTAAATTGGTTTTCTTGTTTCTCAAAGTTTCGCTTTGATTGAGTTTTCCATATTCAAGAGTCATTCTGTATATACATCCTGGTTGCACGATTAATTTACAGAGTTATATTGAAGGTTATTTGCGTCAACCTTTTAAAACGACCGTGCAACATGTTCTTAGCTCAAATTGTAATAATTTCTTTTTTGAACTGTTAAGAGTATTTTCCTTGTGTCGAAGGCTTCGAAGTCCTCAAAGCAAAAGACACACCACTA